TCTCTTTATCCCCAGAACAAGAGACAACATTAGGCAGCATTACAAACCCCTCTAAGTAAATGTTATCACACCAGCTTAGAGCTGCATCACAGTTGCAACATTTTTTTCACAGGTGCATTTCCTCTCTGCATTTTTCAGATATACTTCTATTCTTTTGAAGTATTCCACACAGCCAAGTTTGAAGAATTCCTTATCCCATACATGTCCCTGGGAGTTGGGTTGTGTGAATGCTTATCTTCTATACTGTGTGTAAGTCTTTTCAGACTTGAATCTGAAGGAAAAAACTTAATATGGTCAACAATTATACATTTCCTTACTTCTAACTGGGCTTGGGGAAGATTTGCATAACCTAAGACACATCTTCCTGCTTCTGCAAAACCAGATGCACGATAAAAGGCAGCTCTTTCCTCAAGTTATTTGCAATGCTGTATGTCTTTAGTCTCATTTTTATTCTGTAAAAGAATTTTCTAATGTTCTGGATTACATGTGTGTACGTATGTGTGCATAATTCAATGTATACCAGCACGCAAGAAAGGGAACTGTCTAACAACAGCCTAGGGTTGACTAATAAACACAGCTTAATTAATAGTGAATTAGCTTTGAAGAAGCTAATCAAATTCATTAGGAATTAAGAGACTCTCAAATGACATTTATTTCTGGCTGTTATTCAGATGCCTTCAGTGAAGATCACGTGGAGAGGGGAGAAATTATGTGAGAACTGGTATTTATGGCCCATGATTTCTGCTTTTCAGAGCACACTTATAGACCGATTTGGGAGGAAGGTGCTGCTTTGGAAAGGATACACACTGATGTGTTCTGTGCTGGCGCTCCTTACCATGACCCTGTCACTGCAGGTAAAGAGGCAGCAGCCCTCTGGTTACTTACTCAGCATCAGCCCACCTTTCTGGTCTTGCCTCACAGGATATGTATAAAAACTTCAGTCAGTGGCAGAAAATACAGAGCTCTGCTATTGCCATGTATCTAATGGTTTGATATCACTGGTTTCTCACTTTCAGCATCAATTTTTCTGGATGCATTACTTCAGTGTTATCTTGATCTTCCTATTTGTGATCTTCTATGGAGTTGGACCATGTGAGTACATCAACAGCAATGCTGGGAGGAAATTTTGTATCATATTGGTTGTTAGCACAACTGGCAGAGGGTCCCATGGTAAAAAGCTCTGGAAAATATGGAGGGAAGGGTAGATATGCACAAGTGAGAGACAGGAAAAGGATCCAGACACCTCAAATTTTATTGCTGATCACAGGATCTAAATAACTTAAAATACAGTATCATCTTCTCCAGAGGGTTTGAGACAGAAATTTCAGAACAATTTTTAAAATACTCAGCTATAAACAGGATTCTAGGCATTGCCAGGTGTATTACAGTAATCACCCTCATTTACTTTGCAAGTTAAGCTTTATACCTACCAGTGCGCTTCAGGTGGAACTGACCACAGGGGCCAAAAGGGGAGCTGTTTTTATAAATTACTGTACTAATAATGGCTACCTGTGCAATATGGAACTGCACAGATCCACTGACACCAGAAAAAAGATTCCACTATGTATGAGAGAAACCTAAATTGACAGCTGAAGTCCTAAATCAACAGCTGCAGTCCCCTTCTGTAATCTAGGTCTTTCACACTCATAGCAGAGGCTACTGGCCAACAGGCCATCTATTCTGCCTGCCTGTCATTTTCTAGCACTGCCTTTGCAAGGATCTTCGGCAGGAGCAAGGAAACAAGTGTACCTGGTTTGTGTTTTGCTTTTCTTTTTCAGCTGGAGCCACTATAACTGTCGTGGTTGAAATCTTCAGCCAGTCATTCAGACCATCAGCTTTTCTGATTGTTGGCTGCATCAGCTGGATGGGACTGTTTGTTCTTGGGATGATTTTTCCATTGATTGTTGTAAGTGACTCTAACTGGGTCCCTCTCTCCAGGCTAATCCACTTCTGAATGTTGCCAGGGAGCAAAATAACAGCAATAAATTGCAATGACATGCAAAGCCTAGAGCTCTGTCCAAATACCAAACCTGCTCAGGAATCCCCCAGGCCTGTCAGAGGAGCAGCAATTGGACTCAGGTCAAACATCGCCAGTGGAAACTCCTGGTTTGGTACCCGTCCTGGTTTGTGTATTGAGCAGACCTTTGAATTTTAATTACTAAGACAGAGGCTTGCTCCCAAGAGCAAGGAAATAGAAATTAGATTCTTCTTTTCCTTACAGTGTCTCCCATTTCTGCTTGCAGGATAACCTTGGACCCTTCTGCTTCCTCATCTTTTTGGGAATCCTTGCTTTATCAGCAATTTTCATCTACCTATATCTCCCTGAGACCAATGGAAAGTCAATCATGGAAATAAAAGCAGAGTTCAACAAGCTGAACTTCGGGAAAAAAGAAACCTCAGCCACTGAAAACAACTTTCCTAAGGAGCTGTCGTTCTGCACCAAACTCTGAATGTTCAAAGGAGATATTTGCATCTCTTAGAAAAGACAGGAAACAATGTTGCAATAGAACTAAAAGGAAACATTAAAAACAGACTGCAAGCTCTTCTGTGTGTTGCTCCTTTTTTCTATTTTTTTTAATATAGTTACAAAATTCATTGTGCCAGCTTTATTTCTTAATGATATCCAAACATTTTCACAGAAATTTCACCACTCAGTTTTAAGATCTGCTGGATATAATGAGACTTTTTTCCATTAAAAAAACTCTTTTATGCTAGTCTACCTTATGAAGTTTAAAACATTTTATTAACAGTCTGTAAGGCCCAAATACTGCTAGAAGAGCATACATACAGCCTCTGCTCACAGCCCTGGACCCACAGCCCTGGGCCTCAGTTGGTCTCCCCTGTCCCCAGGAGTCCTGCCCAATGCCACAGGTACCTGAACAGTTTGTCACTGAGCTTTCCTAAATAAGACCTCACTAGCTCTAAGCACCTCATAATCAGGAAACTGCTGACAAACAGCTCAGAGTGCCAGAAATATGAAGGACCAAGCCAAATAATTTAAGAAGACAAACCAAGGGAAGGAGTGATTAATAAGGCTAAATAATTATCAGTCATGAGGCTGGGGAAACAGAGAAGTCTAAAATATTTGACTAGCAGCCCAATAAAGAAGCTAGATGCGTACTTTCAGGTGACCAGAGCAGATAGGGATTCAAAAGTTAGCACAATAAATTAGGGAAAAATGTTCCAGCCATGATAACAGAAAAAAATATTGAAAGTGAAATTGCACTGCGCAATCATCCTTCTGGATATGTAATGGAAATCTCAGTGGAGAACTTCCTAGTAACTCTAAGCAGGGAGAAGGACCTGCCAAACAGAGATATTATGGTATGTAAAAGAAGTAAAATGGCTGCTATAAAATAAAGCACACTCCCAAGAGCGTCTGTGGTGCCGAAGGATCTGATTTCCAGCCTGGTACATCAGCTTCTGGGAATTACATCAGATGTTTTCAGAGAAGATAGAGTTTGTTCTGGAAATGTTTTTCTTGTTATGTAAGCAAGCTGCAAATAACTAGTGACTATTGTACCCAGCAGAAAAAATAGGTTGTGAAGTTCATTGGAAACACAGTCTAAGTTTTTCCAGGTGACCACTAACAAGTATAGTATGATTTTTGGCAGGATCATGCCACCTGCTTTCAACTAATCACTGAAGAAAAGATTCATTAATATTACAAACAGCAGTTCCTCTTCTTACGCATGGGGCTGTCACTTGAGTTAGTTTTTAATGCTTTGACATAGGAAACCTGCCCTGAAAAGGCTGTTTGTACAAACAGGTTTTATCTCTGGACTCTTTTTCAGGATTTTCATTATGTTCAGAATGCTTTGGATACAGGAAACACAACCCACTAACACAGGCTGTAGATGAACACTGGCACATACTAACTCATTTCCTGACTTTTTATTTGCTGGCTTTTTACAGAAAGGGTGCTATAGTGAAGAAACCGACTTAAAATCAACATACACCACACAATCAACTTCAACATGTTCATACAGAGGATTTCACCATTTAAAAGTATTTTTTTAAATCACGCCATCACAGTACAAGCATTTAGCGCAAGCTATAGAAAGCTCTCCCTCTTTTCACCAGGCTGGAGAATGGAGTGATTAGATAAGCCTTAAACTCACAGAAACTACTGGGCATAAAGACACTCATCACCTTTAACACAGAGAGACTAACAAACCATTTATTTTATCCTCATCTGCATTTTCAACCTGCTTTCCACACACATCTCACTGCGAATACCCCCTACCAAATGCCATATGACCGCTCTGAATCACTTCTCTCATGTAAGACTCTACAAGGTAGCCAAGAGAACTGATCCCATTTCTGTCATGTACTCCACTCTGGATAAAACCCTCTCATTTTAGAAAGCCTGTGGATTTCCTGTCTCTCAGGAGATCCTGTTGACTGTTATGGGGCTATTTGCACAACAAAGGAGCAAGCTGAAAACAAACCTCTCCTGAGTATGTAGAATCCAGCACTTACCACAGCAGAAAATCAAGACCCTGATTTTAAGGCATCTTTGTCATGACTTAGTCACAGTTCAGGAAAGGTCTCCACAACATGTGCTACGGGAGTTTTTCTGTTACAGTCTGTTCCACAGGAAGAGTTCCAGACCTCACAACTGAGGCTTCCATCTAAATGTATTAAATAATTATAAGACTTGCATAAAGAAGTACATCATAACTCCCCCACTCTCGGTCTCTGATACACTTGCTTTTTCTATGGTTTTCACGATCAGACTGTATCCAAATATGAAGTTTCATTTTGGATGCCTTGATTTCCAGAGTGTAGAAAGCCAGCTTTCCCTCCTACGAAAGCTGCACATTGACCATCTGCATTAGCAGTCTGCAGCTGGCACATACACCTGAGGAAAGTGCCACAGGCTATTTAAAGGCTCCCAAAGTGCTTACTAGCACAGTGGGGTAAGTTACATTGCAGGTGAGTTAGAAACAAAGCTGTGAACAAGGTGAGCTGAAAGAAAACCCTCTTGCAATTCAAAGATGCCTAAATTAGTTGTTAACACAAATCTAAGCAAGGATAAACTTCCAGAGACTTTCACGAGGGAGCTCACCTAGTAGTTATCAAAAGCAATGGGCAAACCAGCACAGGAAAGTCCAGATGCTCAAATGTTTCCTTTATTTACTCAGCTGTGCTTATATGCAATGAGCTATTTCTCAGTGATAGCCTCTATGAACTAATATACCTAATATATTGAGGGTATTTAGCATTTAGGGTCTTCTCTCTGTACAAATATCAAATACTCGTTTGCATAACTTAGCTCTGTTGAAGTCTCAAAACTCTTGAAGTATTTAAAATAGCCTTGTGTATGATGGTATTCCATGTAGTTCTCCATATAAGTCAGGATGCTGGGGGTGTGTGGGCCGCTATACACGAGTAGCTCTGCCAACAGCTCTCGAGAACCTAGCTGACTGAAAGCAGTCTCACCCTCTAACTTCCTTGCTGAGTCCTGCGGAATACGTCCTTGTTATCTGCCACCAAACTGCCTGTAGCCTGGTGGTTACAGCGGAAGAAAAAAATAACGTATTTGGCTTGCTTGGGCATTAGCAAAAATACCCATGTGACATCCCGTTACTTGTAGTCAAAATACCAAAGTAAAATCTGTCTGCTAGTTTCATTACCAAACTGAGGGATATTTACCTGCCAAAACCCACAGCAATCTGGTCCTGAGATGAAGTACTGAAATAATCTCATTAAGGGTCTTAAAAGGTTTTATAAGGCAGTTATTTCCTTATTAATCCTGAAAGATAGCTAGACATTGTATCAATTGTTTACTGAAGACTGTTGATGAACATGGCAAAGGGAAAGCTTCTCTATAGAGCTGTAAGCTTAATAACGTGAGCTACCCCTCAGCTGCTGTAGCAGCAGTAACTTATGTGAATCAGTTATAGATCTTTTTTTTAGCAGCTTGGTGAAGTACCCTTTCTATGTATTCAGCACTAAATGAGCGTTTTCAGAAAATGTTTCTTATTTTACTTTGGGAGTGATGCTTTGAAACTGTAGAAAGAATGAGTTTCTGGTGCCTACAGAAATGATTCTGAGGGCTTGCCAGCAAACCTTTCTCTGTAAACTGGGACATCTCAAGTTCTTGAGCAGATCTTTGCTCTTCATGGAAACAAAGTGCTCCGAAATGGTAGTCACCTCGAACTACTTGAGACAGCAACAGAGATCTTTGAAACAATTGTTTGATAACTGCCGCAGGTGGAAGTGTCCTGAGCAGGGAAGAAGAGGGAAAAATGAATCGAAAATTAAACACCAAGTGGGATAACTGAAAATTTTAGAACCTTCTACCTTCGAAGCCACTGAAGGCAAAGGGCTCTGGAGCAGAGGCTCGCGCCGAGGGAGCCTTTCCGAAGTGGCCAAACCGCAGT